TTCAGATTTGGGTAGACTCCCCAAATCTGAACAGTTTTGTATGTGTGTGTTTTCATTTCAAAAGTGTTCAAATTATGTTCCCCTTTTCTTGGTGCCTTATTTTATTTTAATGAACAAATGGCCCCCTGCCCTCTTCTGACTGGTCCTGCCTTTGGGTCTAGCACAAAACAAAACAAAAAGATTGATAGAGGAGGAAATCCCGTCCCCTTGTATCTGGCTGTACAAATGCTGTCGTCTACTGGAAGGCAGTTGGAATTCTTAGTTTCTCTTCTTCTAGCCTCCACTGCACTGTAAACTTTGTACCTTATTAAAAAACTGTTTCAATTAACTTGAAAATTATTCACAATCCTGTATTACTTACATTGAGGTTTGCTTTTGATGGCATTTTCTTCTTTGCTAGGTCAATTTTAAGGTAATTAAAACCAGAAAGGTCTGTATGGTGGCATTACTAAATGATTAGAACACTCAGAGTACATTTCTGGATGGTGTCTTTCTCTTCATGGTTCCCTATAAAAGTTTGCAGATTGTTGTACCTTATCACTAGTATAAATGGGCCAAATATTTGACATAGAAGTTTTTATATATATATATATTTGAAACTAAGGGTTTTAATATTTCATTAAGAAAGAAGTTTAGTTTCAGAGCTGGCAATAATCTGGAGGTAGAGTTGATAGCTGTGATACGTGACTTGGCCTTGTATGCTGTGTGTGTATTTAAGGTGCATCTGACAACTGGAGCTATCTGATTCGTGCTGTTCATAATTAAGGTATTTGTTTAAGGGGAATCCAGAGATGGATTGTTACTTGTGAACAGGAGAATTTACTGTGATTGACGTTTTGTTCCTTTTTTTATTTATTTTATCTTTACAGTGAAGCAATTTTATATTCAATATATTGCATGGAGTATATTGCATATTACAGTATTTTAAGTGAGATCTCAGTACCAATATCCTGTGGCAATAATTAAAACTGCAGTAAATAATTGCTAGGCTATATAAATATAACAGCCATACTAGCATTTATGTGGGAAGTTCAGCAAGACCTTTAAGAAAAAATAGATATTAAATATCTGATATATAATTTGTATTAGAAACCCACTAAATGGTAGTTAAATTATTTATCCTCCCCCAACAGCTCTGTTTTATCTCCAAGAATTTGATTATATTCCTGTTATCTACAGAACCGGCAACATTGCTATATATTGGTTGGAATAGTCTTATTCAAGCAGAATGGTTATATGTTGGGATCCAAAGAATACCAGTAGCTATTTTTCCATGCCAAGTTCCTTTCTGCTTCTTGAACAGCATCCTCCAGCCTAGTGCCACATAGCAAACTATTGTTGAAATAGACAAACTTTCCAAACCAATGTGTGATATGGCATAGTAATCTTCCAAGCTTTCAGGTTAAAAAAAAAAATCTAACCAGGAAGCTCGTAGATCTCAGATTGTACAATCTATTTCAGTTTCTCAAATGTAAATAGATTTGCATACAGGTCATGTTTGGAAAATGTGTTACTTATGTAATGGCACTGATTAACAATTTTAAATTTTACATTTTGAAAAAATGGTTTTAGGTTAACTGCACTATCATCAAAACCGAAATCTCTCTTTCTCACTCCCTTATGTAACAAGATAGCCTCCTTAAATGAAAGATTTTCATACCTTGGCACTTCTACAAAGACTTGTTTTGCTCACATTGTGACTGTGATCAAGTTTTTTTTAAAATAGAACCCCACATTTTTATTTTCACACACACACAGTTTATTACAGTCTTAGACCAGTACAAGAAGTTTGTTCATGAGTGACCTATGTTCACTTATAAAACTAAGAAATCTTTAGAACCCCACATTGTCTGTTCCTGTTAACGTAGTTCCAATTTTAATTGGGGGGGGTATGAGTGAGCCTTAATGCTTTGCATTCTTTGTTTCTTTTTTTTTTAGATAGGTTGTTTATTCAGAAATCACCTTTTTGCTTTCTGAAGAAAGTCAAAGCAGTTACTATAATTTAAGAAGACTAAAGCTTATATCTTTTTAATAAATCAAAAGTAATTAGCATTAAGTTCCATTAATTTTGATTTTCAGGTAGTAGATTTCTAATTAAGGCATTTATTATTTTTTATGTACTTAAATTTACATTTCTTACTTTTTTGGCAGATTGTATCGATGCTAGGTAACTCTGTCTTCTTTGTGCCTAAAATGGTAATCTCCTTGACCCTGCAGTATGTTTAAGAAGCATTTTACTTTTACAAATATGGTAAGTGCTGCTCTTTAAAATAGCAATAAATAGAACTTAAAGCAATTGAGAAAATTCCAATTATGTTTTAAAAATAAACATGAACATCCTATTTTTTACAAAAGGAAAATGGAAATATTAATAATCGTAAGAAAATATAAAGGTTGGGAAGCACCTGAAGCCAGGCCCTGCCTGGAACTAGGCTGGAAGATTAGTTGCTGGACTTCCACTGGCTGTCTCTTTCACTGTTTAGCAATTCTGTAGGGATGCTTATTTTTCACTGGATCTTTACTTCTTAGGTTTTAGAATTTGATTGCTAATTTTAATGTATTGTATTGTATTGTATTGTATTTTGTTAGCCAATTTCAGTGCTTGCCAGAAGAGAAAAGCAGGGTAAAAATCAAGTAAATAAGTAAAGACATAAATAACATTTAACTTTCAAATTAGAGTAAGAAATAAAAACAATACAGAGAGCCTTTTATCCATTAGAAGATCTCACTGGCAGAAGAAGAATGGAGATATTTTTCATAAATTCTTCCCTCATTCTATAGTATTCTACTTTCCTCTGAACTGCCCATGGCAGGTTTGATATTGAAGTGGGTTGGTGGTTCAAAGAATAGAAGAGGAAATTAGTGTAAAAATTGTCTTCCTTCTTCCATTGTAGGTACATGACAGCAGGAAAAAGAAAGGTGAAATATATCTAATAAAATATGGCTAATTAGCTGGTTTCACTTAAAAGCCAACATTTCTAATGTAGAAATTAAAGGAGTTTCTAATGTGGCGTAATAACAAAAAACTAATGCTAAATGCTGTTTAAAGCAAATACTGCTGAATACTACATTTTAGTTCATCAATACAACAAACAAAAGCATGCTTTTGCCCTCTTCATTATAGGGAAGTTAGAGTTGGGTATGTCCAAAGAAACAAAAATAAGTGGGAATGGGGTAGTTAAGAAGTGTGTGTGGTAAAACAAGAAGGGTTAAGGTCAAGAATAAATGGGCACTGAAGGAATATGGATTGATATCAGAGGGAGTGACCAGAATACTAGAAATACATCGAGGCAGTTTAGTTATTTAGAGACAATGAATGGGAATTCAATCAACTAAACTTTTCCTCCTGGTCACTCACTGACAGGGTTTAAATCATAAGCCTTTCCCTCTCACCTGTTCATGTCAATGGACTTTTAGTCATTCTTTTCCCAGCCTTGAGATTGGGAGGCACCTGCTCAATCTTTATATAGCCAGTTTTGATTGGCCTAATCAGCACTGGTTGCCCCCTTTCCAGCTTCAGCCCTTACATATATGAAGGAAGAGTGAATGAATTGAGAGGAAACAGAAGAGTGAAAAAGTCATGGCTGGATGGAGTCAATGAGATTCTCAAAAAGAGGTAAGAAATTTAAAGAACAAATGGCAGTATATGAAGTGGTTATGGATGTGGAAGAAGCAAGGATGCTTTGTAAAGACAGAAAGTTGTGGAGGGATACAGTGAATGATTTTGACATAAACAGCATTCCCTTTCTTTTGTCTTATGTTTGGCTTACCTTCTCAATATTTGCACAGTATTTCTAATCCTGAAAGGGAATAGCATAATGGGTATGTATGTATGCATAAAAGAAAACAAATACAGGTCGTCCTTGTTTAGTGACTGCCTTGTACAGCAACCGTTCATAGTTGTGATGGTGATGAAAAAGTAACTGTGTGACCAACCCTCGCATTTATGACCTTTGCAGGTCTGTAAAGCAGAGGAAAATTGAAATAAGATCATAAGCACAGTTGCGGTTTCACTTACCAACCACTTTGCTTAATGACCAAGTTGACAGTCCCAATTGTAGTCGCTAAACAAAGACTACCTATACTTAGAAGAAAACATTTGCTGTGGCTGAATGATTTGTTTACTGAAACTGTACATTGCAGCTTTCCAAATTCAGTTTAATTGAAGTTGAACAGTGGGAAGATAAGCAATGATTCCAGGAATATAGCTTTATATTTTAATTGATTTTCTAAAAGGGAATTTATGAAGAATAAATTGTTGAAAAATTAACCTTGGTTTTTCTATTAGTGTAATTGTTAAAGGTTAAAAAAGAAAATAAGAATGCATACTTGGAAAGATGCATGTTTAATTCTAGTTACATATAGAAATATGTAATTCTAAGCTACACATGCAATAGGTTGTAGTATCATACAAATACTGTTAGGTAAATCAGGTTAATCTGGTAAATCAGATAATTGAACTTTTCCCTTTTTACCTCTGTCGTTGAAGCAAAAAAAAAAAAAGTGATCTGTTTTTCCACCTGTTCTTTCTTTCCACTGCTTTGTCTACTCCCTTCCTCATTTTGACGCTAATACCTGGAAACCTTTTTTGCCACCATATATGGGAGCAGGGACAGGAGAAGATTACATCACAGAGGGAATTAATATTTCCATTCTAATTCAGCTAGATATTTATAAGAATGTATGCAGAGGTAAGAAGTAACAACTCTAAATATTAATGATAGTAATAGTCTAATATGAAAAGAATTCCTGTATTCAGGTGCATACATCATACATGATTTAATTTATTATTTTGATTAGCTAATAATTGGCTGTGAAGCTAGTCTGTTCCTCAGATTATGAAACAAATTTTTGATTAGAGGTCTCACATGTTTCAGTCTTTTTCCTGAAGTTTTATAGTTATCCCCACAGAACAGCTATGAAGATATGCTACTAACCTAGAATCATATGGTTCTCTTATTTCCTGTTCATTTTCCTTCTTGAACTATATATGGCATAGTGTTACATCTTTACCAACACTGACCAAGAGTTAAGGATTTGAATAGCTAAAGCTTTGGATTATGTTGGAATGTATTTCTGGACTGCAGACTTTGGTACACTCTGGACTTGGGTGGTTTTCATAGATAAATAAATTTCACTTAGCACATTTAGAATGTAATTTGTTTTGAAAGATGTTCCTTGTGCTACTCGGATCTATCTTTTGTACTAATTCGAACAAATGAGGCAATTTATGAAGTAGAACATAGAATGACAGACTTTTGTCAGATTAAATTTACTTTTAGATAGGGTATTTATAAAGTATGAATATAAGCCAAATATTTCCCAAACAAAGAATATCTCACAATCAGGAAGAAAAAACTGGTTTTTCTTCACAAGTTCTAAATTCTTGGAATTATTAAATTTACCTTTGCCAAAGTAAAAAAAAGAAATTCAAGTAGCCATGTTGGTCCATTACAATAAATAATGTTATGATTATGTTATAAACAATTGTTTAAATGGATAGATTTCTTTGATTTGACATACTAATTGGAATTTGCAATACCATATCCTCAGGTAAGTATATTTCATAAGGTAACTTGAAGAGCAAATTTAACAGAGTACTGTTGTTCAGTAGGTAATACTAGTCTCCTTAGCTAATGAGGAGTTATAGGAAAGAAGATAATATAGATGGTAAGAAGATAAGTAAGTTTAAATAAGGCTTAGTACAAGAATATTGGTCATGTCAGGTTAGAAGCAGTATTTTTAAAGTGTACAAAATACTGGCATGAAGTTACTGAATTAAATAAAAAGTATCACATGGGGTATATGATTTTTTTAAAGAGTATAAAGAGTATTATGCCTCTTCAGACTGAATGCCTATATTGGTAAACAAAAATTACTACAAAATAATTACCAGAATAACATCAGAATAAATCAGTGATGAAATTGATCATTGTTGGTTGTAAGTTTCCAAAATTCTGAATTTACCCCAAGGCTTGTATTAAAGATATCTTACTGAATTCTGTGTACTTCTTGCTTCTTTAATCTTACCCAGCTATGTGGGGCTTGATAGTTAATTTTTGTCCTGAAAACCATAAGAGAAATCTCTAACCTGCATTTATAGTGAGATTATTAAGGCAAAGTCTCTGAGTGATTTGAAATGCTTCTTTCCAAATTTCTTGACAATTGCCAATGGACTCACCTTCATCTCTTGATTGTTTATGTCAACTTTCCATTATTTTCCCAGCCTCCCCACAGTCTCTCACATTTAAGATGACTCTGTGCATGCTGTTTAATGTTATGTTTTTATGACTACACTGGCCTACCTTGTCTGGGCTTGGAAGCTAAACAGGATGTGGCCTGGTTAGTACTTAGATGACAGACCCATCAGGAAATGCCAGAGCTGTAGGTTAGGCAGGGAAGTTGAAAAAAAACGCTGCAGAACAAGGCAGTGACAAACCACTTCTGTATTGTTGCCAGGAAAGCAACATGGACATGTCTATGCAGTCACCAGGAGTCAAATTTGACTCAAGTAACCTTACATTTTATGAATCAGAAAGATACACAGTTTAACAACCTGGAACAAAGCTATAGCAAATCAGTTCTGTCTTTTTGCTCAGAAAACATATGTGGACATATCCATGAAGTTACCAAGTCTTGAGCTGAACTCAAAGGAAACTTGATTTCTCTGGCAACAGGTAATTTACCTCTTACTACTGTACTCTCCTGTTTCTGAACTTAAAGGATAGGAGTTAATAAATAATATATAAACAATCTTCTCCTTTTTGTGACTGAAACTATTTTCACTATTAAATTAAAGTGTCTTTTATCATAAGAAGTGAAAACAGTCCCAGTCACATCTCTTGTCATAGTGAAAATAATTTCAGCCTTCAAATTTATCATGTGTCCCATTATTTTAACCACAGATAAACCCTGTCTGATTTCATCTTTCAAAGGCAAACTTTTAGGTATTTCTACTTAATTTTCCCCCATTTCAAAAAAGGACATTAAAGTTATAGAAGATGTGGTGCTTAAGGTTTACAAAATGCATCTCAGATGGGTAATTTATTTAACTGCTTGATGTAAGAACTGGCAAGACAATTTTACTAATTTTAACGTAGGCCTTTCTTTGTTTAGACATCTTGTTAAATACCAGATTCTCAATTAGTGTTTGGGTTTGGCTAATCACAACATTCTAGCTTTCACAAATACACATCTGTAGATATCTGAGTTTTAAGCCATTTTCTTTGAAATAGCTATTTTTCAAGAAAATACCATTTTGTACTTACAAAATGTGATGATTGTATTTCACAGCTCTGAAATGCTACCTATCCAGAATGGTAGAAAGCTATAATGTGATTTTCTCTGTACTGCAGTCTTAGTAAAGCTTGGTAGTGAAGATATATTATTTTTAACATCTCCATTGCTTTGTTTTCTTTTGTTTTTTGTTTTCTTTTGTTTTGTTTTTAGAGCTGAGAATTATTTGGGCAAAGTGGAAATAAAGTTCATTGTAAGAAAGCTCTAATGGATGACAGGGAATCTCCTACAAATAATCTTCAATTAAATTTACAAGATGTACTTCATACTGACATGCATGAAGAAAGGATCAAAACTTGTTTGGCTTCTTCTCCAGATGAAAATGAAAATCAGTGTAATAGTAGGAAGCATAATATCCTGAAAAGCTCTCATAGTACAATAGGAAGAGTTGAGCAGGACAGCATTAATAATAACGAGGACAGTGGAGACTATACATCCTGCTTCCAAGAAGATGAAAGTGATAAGACACATAAAAGTTTGAAATCAGATATGCCACAGAAGCTTGATTCTGAAAAAAAGAATTCAAGAAAAACAAAAAGTCCCAGCAGGAAAGGCAAGTGGTTTCCTAAATATACACATATTGATGGTATAGCTTTGCTCAATTTTCTTGAACTGATCTATTTTGTATTTAATCTTACTTAGGTACATCTTACTATACTTGGCAAAAATGCTCCAAGATTTCTGTCTTTCTGCCTAAACCCAAAATACAGGCTTGAGTAAAGCAGCAACAGTTCCAACTGTTTCCTAGGACCTAACTTCACAAACCAGATTTGTGGCTCATCTTCCTGTCTCCTAAGGTCATTCCCATATACTATTACAAGCTGCCACCAAATTCAATATTCATTATACATTCTCCTCTTCTTCCAGCCATCCATTAGGTCCCATTCTCACTCAAGCCGGCAGATGTCTAAAACCTAATTACTGTCAGGGCAAAGGCATGCAAAGCCCTCCATCTCTCACCAGGAGAAGCAGCTATTTTACCACCATCCCACACAACCAATCTATCACCATGTTCATGATCTTATAGTTCTCATTCACTAGTCCCAAGCCCATGGAATAAAAGAGCAGGTCCTCTTGTGGATAAGCAATGGGTTAAAAATAGAACACAAACAAAAGGAATAAATAGATATTTCTCACAAAGCAGGTATGTAGCTAGTTGAATCCCCCAGAGTTCTGTCCTAGGATCAGTGCTTTTTCACTCATTTATAAATTATCTGGAATTGGATATGACTAGTGGAATAGTCAAATTTGCTGATGAGACTAAATAATTCAGAGTGGTAAAACAATAAGAGACTGTGAAGAGCTCCAAAGGGATTTCTGCACATTAGGGGAGTGGGCATCAAAATGGCAAATGTCATTCAGTGTGAGCAAGTATAAAGTGATGCACATTAGTGCTAAAATCCTATCTACTCATACAAACTAATGGGACCAGTGACTGATGAGGAAAGAGATCTTGGAGTAATGGTAAACAGTTCAATGAAGGTGTCAACACAGTGTGTATCCACTATAAAAAAAGGTCAACAGCATGTTAGGGATAATAAGAAACAGTATTGAAAATAGATACACCAATATCATAATACCTTATATAAATCAATGGTGCAACTGCATCTGGAATACTTGGTGCAGTTGTTGGTCACCACACCTCAAAAAGGATATGGTGGAACCAGAGAAGGTTCAGAGGAGAGCAACTAAGATGATCAGGGGGCTGGAACAACTTCCCTATGAAGAAAAGTTGAAACATTTGGGGCTTTTTAGTCTCGAAAGGTGAACAAGAGGGGGTTTGACTGAGATGTACAGAATTATGCATGGTGTGGATAAACTGTACAAGGAGAGCCAGTTTAATGCAGTGGTTAAGGTGCTGGCCAAGAAACCAGGAAACCGTGAGTTCTAGGCCTCCCTTAGGCATGAAAGCTGGCTGGGTGACTTTAGGCCAGTCACTGTCTCTCACCCCAACTCACCTCACAGGGTGGTTGTGGCAAAATAGGAGGCAATGTGATATGGTCACCACCATGAGTGACCAAAATACGCTGTATATAAAAAAATGTGGGATAAAATAATACTAGAACCAGAGGTCACCCAATAAAATTGAATCTTGAAAGAATCAGGACAGATAAAAGGAAACATTTTTACACAATGTATAATTAAATTTTGGAATTTGCTATCTTATGATGTGGTCTTGGCATCAAAAAAGGGTTGGACCAATTCATGGATGACATGGGAATCAATGTGTATTAAAGGCCATCTGCTGGGAGACTAGTGGGCTTCCTTGTGCAGTTGGTTGGCCATTGTGAGAACAGACTGCTGGACTAGATGGGCGAGGGGTCCAATCCAGCAGAGCACTGTTTAGTTCTTATGTTCTAAAGAGGGTGCTTGAAACTCATTCAAAGCTTTTAAAATAGTTTGAACTTACACAACATACATTTTATTGTTGCATTTAGTATTTCAATTTGAATTGTATTTAAACTTATATAAATGGAAATGTACTTACATAATGGGGCTTTTCTGCCCCATGCTCACCACTATGGCCCTTATCAACCATCTCCTGTGGGGCATGGAATCTGCAGGAAAAACTTGGAATTAGTGCACGAACTGCATTGGAAAGGGGGGCTCGCCAAACACCGCAGGAGGCAATGAGAAAGAAAGATTTCATTTCGCACTGTGACTTTTTGTGCCATATCTAGGCTGTTCCTGAGAAACTTTGACCGTCCGGAATAACTTTTCATGGGTTGAGAGGAGAGGAAAGTTTCTTTCTGTCCACAGATCTATGTTTGTATCAAACTTGATATAATCTAGGGTACTATATATTTTTGAGACATTTCATTTTCCTTAAAAGAAAAAGCAATGGTTTCTTTTGACATTTCTGCAGCCAAACAAGAGAAAGCTGACATTACAGCAGTATCTTATGCACAAGGGGCCGATGGAAACAAGACAAATTCAAACCATCCTGTGAAAGAACCAACTCAGACTTTACAGTTCCTCTTCTCTTTTCTTCAAGGAGAATTTAAGCAAATGGATTCAAGCATACTGCCCCTGTTCTTGCATCAGGTAGTAAGAAGGCATTGCTCACATTTTTTTTTTCATATGTTTGTTACATACTGAAGTTTCCAGTTTCATTCCCCATCACTTCTGTTAACAGAATCAGGTGGCAGATATCAGCTCTACCTGAACCCTAAAGAATTACTACAGTATAGGTAACCTGCTGCTCCTAGGCACCTTCGTTTGTCCTCACTGGGCTCCCTGTCCTGCTTGCTCTTTTAAAAAGTTTTAAAATTAAAATAATAATGAAAGCTGTCATGCTGCAAAGTACCAAACTCTTGTATAATATTCATTTACAGAAATGTAGTTGAGCTGCACACAAGATCCCACAGAGATGACAGAACATCCTGGGGAGCTAGTTCAGCTTCTGATAAATGGATATTTTGTAACTATGTCAGTTATGGTGGCTCTTTTGTGAGCCCTTTATACCAGTGTTTCTCAACCTTGGCCACTCTAAGATGCGTGAACTTCAACTCCCAGAATTCCCCAGCCAGCATTGCTGGCTGGGGAATTCTGGGAGTTGAAGTCCGCGCATCTTAGAGTGACCAAGGTTGAGAAACACTGCTTTATACCATCTCAATGGTCCAGATATGCCTGCAGCTCAAAATGTAGCTCTCCCTACAGCAGAATTAAAGGAAACAGCACTTGGTTAGGTGGATGGGTGATATATAAGCAGAGCAGTTTGAACTGATCTCTAAATATAAGCAGAAATGGCATCATACATTTGGTTTCTCGATTCCAGAATACTCTGGTGAATGTCCTTATCAACTATATCTGGCATCTATATTGATTTGTTTTAATGTGCCAGGTATTTTAATAGCTAGCTTTGGTTTTTCAAGCCAGTTCCTATATATTTTTATTTTATTTTATTTTATTTTATTTTATTTTATTTTATTTTATTTTAAGACTTATATGTTGTGGTTCAGTCATTAAGTTGTGTCCAACTCTTCGTGACCCCATGAACCGTATCGCGCCAGGCCTTCCTGTCC